GCAGCCAGCCCTGCAGTCCTGCTCAGCGCTACCAAAACCTTGCCATGTCAACCCAATGCACAGGGCCATTAAGGTCCCCAGTAAGACGTGAGGTCATTGATGCCAAGGCATCCTCAGGCTGGTTAAATAAGACTTTGTCCCCTTCCTCTCCCTGACGGTTGATAGGTTCGTTACGTCAGAGCAGAGCTGTGCTGGCACCAAGCCCAAGCTCAGGTGTGTAACAGAGCAAGCTGGTACCAAGTGCCCAAGGTCCCATGCAAGCCCAAGGTTTGCTTTCGAGCCTGCTGGGGTGGGTGGCAGGTGGCAATGTAAAGAGGAAAGGAGGTGTCCCTACGGAGAGCAAGCCCTGCTGTCCTCAGGACCAGAGAGATGCAAGACTGGGCAGCCCTGGCAGGAGCGGGCTTTGCTGCCTGGGGCATCTCTGCAGCCCCGGAGGGCCTGTAGTGCAGGTGCAGCTGATCTCCAGGAAGGACAAGGTGCTTTTGAAAATCTCCTTGGCTGTGGACATCCCATTATCCAGGAAGACTGTGGAAGTCATTGGTCTGGCTGTTCCTTGGCCGTATCATCAAGGGGATGACTCAGGGTTATCAAACCCTAAAACAGGCTGCCCCGGGAAGCGGCTGAGTCACGATTTCCTGGAGGTGTTTAAAAGATACGTAGACACGGCACTTAGGCACGTGGTTTAGTGGTGGACCTGGCAGTGTTAGGTTTACGGCGGGACTCGATGACCTTAAGGGTCTTTCCCAACCTGAATGTTTCTATGATTCTATGATTCTGTGACTAAACTATGTGGGAGAAACACAGCCTGCATCTCCTGGAGAGAGATGGGACAGGACTCGCCTCACTGCAGTTGCTTGAACGAAAGCGCTGAACGTCTCTGAGGTTCTCTTGGGATCTGTTACACGGCTGCTCTAAACGGGGATGGTGCTCCTGCAAGTCTTGTGCTGTCGCTGCTGGCTGCCCGCAGTTGTGCTGGAGAGCCCTGGCACCTCAGGTAGCACCACAGGCTGTCGTTAGGCTTTCAGTTGAGCAGCTGCCCCGAATCAGGTGAGGCACTGCAGGGAGTCTATGCGACACCTGCCATAACTGTCAGTGGGGATCTGGTAAATGCAGCTGGTGGAGAGGAAAGAGAGACATAGCTCTCCCAATGGCAACTCCATTTGCCCAGAGGAATACCTCAATGGGCTGCCCTGGACATACTGAGCAGGAACAGGCATCATTGTCCTAAACATGGGCCAAAGGCATGCCCCACCAGCCTCCAAAATGACAACCCCAAACGCTGCCCTGTCCCTCTGAATTGCTCCACCAGAGCTTACAGTGACCTGCACGTGTCTTGGAACACCTCTGGCACCTCCAGTGTCACCTCTGGTTTGCATGGGTACAGGAGAGTCCTGCCTTCCATTGTCCGGGTGCCCTGTCTCATAGTGGGACAAGCAGAGGTGATTCTTGGGCCTGACTCTGTCTCTAATAGGGGAAATGACACAGCTGGAAGGACGTGTCCCTCCTCAGCTGCTGAGGAACATCGTTGATGACTTCAGCCTCTTTCACAGCAGGTTCCCCTGGAGCCCCAGGGACATCTCTGAGGGAGCCCAGAGAGACCTGAGAAAGCGGCACCTTGGGCTGGTCCTCTGCGGCGGAGCTGGGCCGGGCTCCTGGGGCGGAGGGAGCTGGTGGCAAGCGGGCAGCACTGCAGAGAGACAGCTCTGCCCAGGAGCAGCTCCTCTGCCCAGCACAGCAGGGCTGGGGGCACTGCCTGCGGGCACTGCGGGCAGCCAAGAGAGGTGACAGGCAGGTTAAAGGCAGCCTGGGGTGGGAGGCAGGAGCTCAGTGGGGAAAATCTTCACAGCCCTTTGACACGATAAGTCTGGCTGCAGGGCAATGTAGACAAGCTCCTGGATGTATCTCCAGGATCTGGCAGATGGGATGGCGGGTAGGACCTGTCAGGGTGGCTCCCCTGGCTTTTCTGGTGTGGAGGAGGACGTGTTGCAGAGCGGGGCTTGCCTGCTGCACCATCGGAGGGACAGGGCAAGACACCCCTTACTCCCGGGGATGGCTGCATGGGTTGGAAGCCGGGGGTGCAGCGAGGGGTGCCCAGGGCTGTCCTTCCGAGCAGGGTCCCTGCACCCCAGGGGCTGTGTGCCGGGACAGGGACTCTGCTGCCTGCCGGGGTCAGCCCTCAGCCTGCCCGGGTAGCTCCCCAGGGCACTGTTGGGAGCAGCTCTGGATGGCAGGAGCAACCCCCGGCAGGGCAGGGCCAGGCAGGGCAGGGTCCTGCTGCTCTCAGGAGATTGCTGCGTGGGTCAGGGCTGCTCACAGCCTCAGCTCTACCTCATGACATTGCCGAGGGGATTTCTCAAGAAGCACATCAAGTTAGTGCTCCTGGAAAGAGAAGGGCCTTTCCCAACTCTCTCTGGCTATCTGGGTTTTGCACTGGAGACTGACATTCGGGTTTCTACTTAGGAGTACGCTTAGGAGTACTACTTAGGAGTACGCTTTGAGGCTCCCAGCCTCTTACACTGAGAGACGAGTCAGCCTGGAAGAAGCACCTCGAAGCCGTGTACCCAGCTGCCCCCAGCCAGCCCAGCAACATCTCCCCCTTCCCAGCCACATCAGGCTCTCTGTGAGCTGGTCTTTACCCCTGCCCAGGCAGAGATGCCCCTGACAGTGCCCTGCCCGGGGAGGTGTTTGCGGGCAGAGGTGAGCGCACAGCGGTGGGACGGGGCTGGTGAGCACTGGCAGGGAGCTGAGCTGGGACAGGAGACGGCTCCCGGCAGGAACGGCTCCCGCAGCAGAGCGAGTGCCTTCCTGCTGTCCCTGCGACACAGGCACCTTCCCCTGAGCCACTCCTCCCTGCTCTCCTTCCCCTCCCTGCTCTCCTTTCCCAGCCTACACAGAGCCTCTGCCCTCTGCCCATGGGTCTCAGGTATGCCTTGCCCCTGCGCCAGCCAGAGCCTGGAAAAGGACAAACTCCGGATCTCCACCTGTCTGTATGTGTCCCTCCTCCCTTGGCAGGGGCATTGTGGCATTTCACTGCCATCCCCTCCTGCCTGCGCTGCCCTTGTTCCCACCTTGGATTTGCTGGGTCAGTGCGGGCTTTTGGGGTGGCGGGTTCAGCCCCTGTTCGGACACTGACCCGTTGGGTCCTGCTCTGCAGACGTGTCCATGGGAGCAGAGCGCCCAGGTCTTCTCCAGGCAGCTTCAGGACATTCAGCCGTTTCCCTGGGGTGCCCTCCAGAAGGGCGCAGCTCTCCCATCGTGTCCCTGTGCTCCCTGGGATGCCCATGGAGAAGACACCTCGGTGCTAAGGCCGTGGCAGTGCTGCTGGGCAGCCGTATGTGGGCAGCTGCAGTGACCCCCTGTGTCCCAGTCTGGAGGGGAGACCTGAAATCCTCTGCAGGTACCGTCAGTCTGTCAATCGGCTCTTTGAACCTGGAGCCCTCTGCTCTCCACAGTGCCCAGTTTCTTTTTAGGGGAGCACTGGCGTGTGATCATCCCCCAGCTCCAGGCTGCTGGCGCAGGGCAGCTGAGCACAGGGCTGACGGGCAGAGCAGCTCTCCTCTCTCTGCACTGCGGGACTGTCCCTTTGCCTCGCGGGACCCACAAGATTTCCCTTGGCGGGCATTGGAAACGGCAGGGATTTCAACCATCCGAAACCACTCCGAAACGTGGCAGGTGCCACTGGAACAAAACAAACAAAACAAACCCCTCTCAGCTCTGTTCTGCCGTCGGGCAAATTGTGAACAACAATGCGGAAAAGCTTTTGGTATATCACAAGTACATTTAATTGGAGATGACCCCGAGTTCCTCGTTCCCGCTCACTGCACAGCGAGAAGGACTCCTCGGGAGCCCAGCACAGACTCCCTGCTCCCAGCGGCCGCTCAGCCAGCAAAACCCGGAGCTCAGGGGAGGGGGCTGCAGAGAGGTCTTCCTGAAGGCAGGGTCTGAGTGTGGGGTTGCTCCAAGACATGTACTATGATCTGTGCAGAGGAGTCCGGCCTAACTCAGTACTGCCTTCTCCACGTCAACAGAAAACCATACCCAGAGGCAGCTGATGTCCAACAGCAGCTCCATCACCCAGTTCCTACTCCTGGAGCTCGCAGACAGGCGGGAGCTGCAGCCCTTGCACTTCGGGCTCTTCCTGGGCATCTACCTGGCTGCCCTCCTGGGCAACGGCCTCATCATCACCGCCATAACCTGCGACCACCACCTCCACACCCCCATGTACTTCTTTCTCCTCAATCTCTCCCTCCTCAACCTGTGCTCCATCTCCACCACTCTCCCCAAAGCCATGGCCAGTTCCCTCTGGGACACCAGGGACATCTCCTACTCAGGGTGTGCTGCACAGCTCTTTCTGCTTGTATTTTTCCTTGGAGCAGAATGTTTTCTTCTCACTGTCATGGCCTATGACCGCTACGTTGCCATCTGCAAGCCCCTGCACTACGGGACGCTCCTGGGCAGCAGAGCTTGTGCCCACATGGCAGGCAGCTGCCTGGGGCGGTGGGTTTCTCCATGCTCTGCTGCACACGGCCAATAAATTTTCACTGCCACTCTGCCAGGGCAATGCTGTGGACCAGTTCTTCTGTGAAATCCCCCAGATCCTCAAGCTCTCCTGCTCACGCTCCTACCTCAGGGAACTTGGGCTTCTTGATTTTACCTTTTTTTTAGCATTTGGCTGTTTTGTGTTCGTCGTGGTGTCCTATGTGCAGATCTTCATGGCTGTGCTGAGGATCCCCTCTGAGCAGGGACGCCACAAATCCTTTTCCACATGCCTCCCTCACCTGGCCGTCGTCGCCCTGTTTGTCAGCACTGGCATGTTTGCCCACCTGAAGCCCACCTCCATCTCCTCCCCATCCCTGGACCTGGTGGTGGCAGTTCTGTATGCATTGGTACCGCCAGCAGTGAACCCCCTCATCTACAGCATGAAGAACAAGGAGCTCAAGAATGCCCTGCAGAACCTGATTTTAGAAGTAGGATTTCAGCAGCAATAAACTGCCCGTCTCTATTCACAAGTTTTTGCCAACTTGTCTCAGGCAACTTGTGTCTTTTGGGCATTGTACTGGTTATAATCGTGTTCAGAAATGGTTGCTTTCCCCCAGCTTCTCAAGGGGAGGAACCCAGTCTAACCGGCCCATTCTGTAAATGAATGTACCACCACACTAACGCTGGCCTCCTTTGAGGTATGTCTGTAGAAAAAGGGAATTTCCTCAGTGCAGTGTGTGAAGCTGGGGCTCTTCTTTCACATGCTGGCCTCCTTTGTGGTATGTCTGTAGAAAAAGGGGATTTCCTCAGCGCAGTGTGTGAAGCTGGGGCTCTTCTTTCACACTGGAGTGCAGAATACGCTCAGGGAATTGCAGGCTAAAAGGCCCGGCTGTTGTGCTGGGTGCTGCATTGGCTTAGGGGGACAAGGACATGGGTCGATGAGGAAGGGAATGAGGGCTGGACTGACCCTTCCCTTTCCTGGGTGCCCAATGCCACTGGAGATCCTGAATGGTCAAAAGGCATCTGCCTGAGGCCCTCTCACATATGACAGGGCTGGTCACAGATGCCCAACCTTCTGAAAGGGGTTCTGAAGCCACCAGGAGAACACAGGGCACTTCTGGGGACACTGGTTGCCTCGGGGTGGGAGGTGAATGGAGGTTTACAAAACTTCCCCAAAAAGGGGAGTCACCCAAAGGCAAAGGGCTGAGCTGAAGAACGCGCAGCCTGACGAGGGCTCTGCAATGCCCATGAGGCAATGGAGACACAGCAGGCATGAGCAAGACCACCTTCTGAGCGATTCACATCATCTTCAATGAGGCACCATGGGCTGGATCCAGTGACACTCCTGAGCACATCCTGAACAGTTGAAAGGCCCCATGATTTCTCTGTGTATCACAGCCACAGAGCCACGGGAGAAACCCGTCAGGGGCAGTGATGCCCATCTGGCTAGGTCTGCTTCACTCCCGGACCACTGTGGCCAGTACATAGTCACCCCATGGTCCCAGGGCACCGCAGACCGCTTGCTCTGCAGAGCAGCACCACCAGCTCAGGGCCCTGTGGGCACCTCAGGCGGGGAGCCAGGAACAACTGGCCTGGCCAGCACAGACACACTCCCCTGGGGAAAGGCGCTCTGTGGAGCGGGGGTTTCCCTGGAGAGGAGCGGAGCACCATGTCTATGTCAGCAATAAGGCAACATGGAGGAGAAGCAGGTTTTTGCATTCAGCAGCTTGGGGCAACTCCTGTACCACTGGACTGGCGTGGGGGGCGGGGGGCACAGCACGTCTCGGGGCTCTTCTGGAAAGGAGAGAACAGACCCCCAAGGGTGACTGCACCAGTTCCTTGACCATTGCCAGCCTCCAGTCCTGGGACTGGTGGGGAGGACGACAGCCCCTCCCCAACCCCCTGGAGCTGCCGTGTCCTTCCGAGGGGCTGGGGCTGTGGGGTGAGTGCCCAGAGCTCTGCAGCACCCTGCGGTGAGCACTGCCGTGGGGCCAGCTCCCACTGAGACTCACAGTGAGCCTGCTGCCAACCAGCACCCCCAATCCCTTTCTGCAGGGCTGCTCTCCCACCGCTCCTCTCCCAGTCTGTCCTTGATTCTGCAGCGTTACTCCATCCCGAGCGCAGAATCCGGCAGTCAGACTTGTTAAGTTTCATGCCCTTCATGACGATGTTTAATGCTCCAGTCCAGCCAGATCCCTCAGCAAGACTTCTCATCCCTTGAGAGAGTCAACAGCCCCTCCCAGTTTGGGGTCATCAGCAAACTTGCTGACAATGGATTCCACTCCCGCCTCCAGATCAATATATCAACAGTATTGATATATTTATCAATATAAATATGCTGAACACTCATAAATATCTAGAACTGACCCTAGGATTGAGCCCTGGGGAACATGGCTGGTGACACGTTGCCAGTCAGATGTAACGCCATTCCCATTCTCCTTTTCAGCCCTGTCGTCCAGCCAGTTCTTCACCCATGAGCGCACTGGAAACCCACTCATCTCACAGCTGGACAACCTGCCCAGAAGGATGCCGTGAGGGATGCTATCAAAAGCCCTACCGATATCCAGAAAAACTATATCATCGAGTCCTACTCCCTACTCCTCACAGGACTACCTAAAACTAAACCATAGGACTTTCATAAATCAGAATAAAATGGGAAATATCAATTTTTATACAAAACAACCTCCCAGTGCTATGAAGATTCCCTCTTGGGGTTGTTTAGTCTGGAGAAGAGGAGGCTGAGAGGAGACCTTATCGCTCTCTACAACTACTTGAAAGGGGGTTGTGGCGAAGAGGGTGTTGGTCTCTTCTCCCAAGTAACCGGTGATAGGACAAGAGGAAATGGCCTCAAGTTGCACCAGGGGAGGTTTAGATTGGATATTAGGAAAAATTTCTTCACTGAGAGAGTGGTCAGGCATTGGAACAGGCTGCCCAGGGAGGTGGTGGAGTCGCCATCTCTGGAAGTGTTCAAGAAACGTGTGGATGTGGCACTTCAGGACATGGTTTAGGGGACATGGTAGTGCTGGATTAATGGTTGGACTTGATCTTGAAGGTCCTTTCCAACCTAGTGATTCTGTGATTCAGTGATTCTAGTAGCACTAAGCAAACAGAAACAATGGCTAAAATGTTGCTGCAGGGGATATGGAAAATTTAATAACAGCCATATCTAAAACTCTCAATTCCTTCATCTGGAACAAACACCTAACATACCTCAGTAAGTTACATCATCTCCTTAGGAGCGGGTTTCCTGTCTTTGTACCTAATGTACAACATTGCAGCTGGCACACTGTGCATCAGAAGAGATCATCACTTCAAGAATTACCCTCTCTCTCAACAGTACAGAGCTCTTGCTGAACCACTGATCATAGTCAGTGCCAATACACAATAAACTCAAACATCCCATACTACTTTCATGTCATTGAACCATTTTTCTCTACTGATTTATGCCAGTGATTTCACTGGTGCTGCTAAAATTCCTGCAGAACAGCTGGTTCTAGCCTTGGGACCCTCTCTTCTCCTCTCTATGTACAGTAGCAGACATGTCCCCAAGGTCTGCATTCACTTCCCACAAAGTTTCAAATACACCATTGTCGTGGTTTAACCTCAGATTGCAGCTAAGTACCACACAGCTGCTCTCTCCCTCCCTCTGGTGGGGTGGGGGAAAGAATCAGAAGGGTAAAAGTGAGAAAACTCGTGGGTTGAGAGAAAGACAGTTTAATAATTTAAAAAAAAAATTGTAACAAAAAGAATATAAATAACAGAGAGAGAGAAATAAACCCCAAGAAATACAAGTGATGCGAATAAAAGCAATTGCTCACCACTAACTGACCAATGCCCAGCCAGTCCCTGAGCAGGAGCCCCCCCGCCAACCTCCCCCCTAGGTTCATTGCTGCGCATGATGTCATATGGTCTGGAATATCCGTTTGGTCAGCTGGGTTCAGCTGTCCTGGCTGTGTCCCCTCCCAGTTTCTTGTGCACCCCCAGCCTACTTGCTGGTGGGGTGGTGTAATAAGCAGGAAAGGCCTTGACGCTGTGTGAGCACTGCTCAGCAATAATGAAAACATCCCTGTATTATCAACACTGATTCCAGCACAAATCCGAAACACAGCCCCATACTACCTACTGTCAAAAAAATTAATAACTTTATCCTAGTGTCGTGGTTTAGCCCCAGCAGGCAACTAAGCACCACGCAGCCACTCGCTCACTCCCCGCTCCTGCAGTAGGACAGGGAGAGAACTGGGAAAAAACTCAGGGGTTGAGATAAAAACAGTTTAATAGGACAGCAAGAGATAAGGAAACAACCATGATAGCAACACTAATAATACCGACAACGGAATGTACAAGAACAAGTGATGCCCAATACAGCAATTCCTCACCCCCCGGCGATCGATAGCCTGTCCCCGAGCAGCGATTCCCGCCCCCCAGCTAACTCCAGTTTATGTACTGGGCATGATGTCGTATGGTATGGAATAGCTCTTTGGCCAGCCTGGGTCAGCTGTCCCGGCTGTGTCCCCTCCCAGCTTCCCGTGCACCCCCAGTCCCCTTGCCAGCAGGCCAGCACGAGAAGCTGGACTGTCCTTGACTACTTAGCACCAGCTCAAAACATCAGCACCTTATCAACAGTTTCTCATCCCAAATCCAAAACACAGCCTCATGTGAGCTTCTGTGAAGAAAACCAGCTCTATCCTGGCTGAAACCAGGACCCTGGAGTAAACGGAGCAAGTGTTCTTTGCCAAACTGCCAAAGGTAATTTATGGCTCCCGGGCGAGAAGCGTCTGTCCTCTGCTCGCTTTGCAGATAAAAGATCACAATGAAAATATTTCAGGCTTTGATGTTTTGAGTGGTCGACCCTGGCGCCTGCTGGATGGCAGTGTGTGGTCGTTTGGCTCAAAAGTCAAATTTGACCCTAACTTAATTCAGGAGGCTACAGTACGAGTACTTCACACAGCTCCTGCACTCCCTGATGCAAGAATCACTAACGTCCCGCAGTACCTGATTTCTGCAGCAGCACAAAAAGGGATCTTGGAGGTGAAAGCAGATTTGGAAAAATGACAAATTATCTTCTGAATCCACTCCCCATATAATTCACCCAAAACGAGGGGCAGCCTCAACAGTGCAGAGTCCGGGGGACCATCACCTCCCTAATCCTGCTGGCCACTCTATTTCTGATACAGGCCAGGATGCCATTGGCCTTCTTGGCCACCTGGGCACACTCCTGGCTCATGTTCAGCCGCCTGTCAACCAGCATCCCACGGTCCTTTTCTGTGGAGAAGCTGTCCAGCCACTCCTCCCCAAGCCTGTAGCATTGCATGGGGCTGTTGTGACCCAAGTGCAGGACCTGGCACTTGGCCTTGTTGAACCTCATAGAGTTGACCATGACCCATCCATCCAACCTGTCCAGATCCCTGTGTACAGCCTTCCTACACTCCAGCAAATCAACACTCCCAGTCATCTTGGTGTTGTCTGCAAACTTACGGAGGGTGCTCTTGATCCTCTCATCCAGATCACT